GTTTAGCGTCTAACGAAAAGAATTATGTGGGGATATTTCCCCATGATACGTCGTCATATAAGTTGGGTGTATATCAACCATTTCGCCGCAAACAAAGGGTGCCTCCGTCTTGTGGGTCCTTTGAAAGGCTCGACAGTTCGTCGGGGACCTCTCACACCACTCTCTAGAATCCCACGGAACCCTAAAGAAAGTGGAACTACGTAAGGTCATTTTTTGTGACAATCCTAACATTTTGGAAAAAATACTTTTTCTCGAAATTGCGGCCGAGTTAGAATATAGAAAAATTATAGGTGATAGAGCTTATTTTAATAAATGTATCTGACCTAAGCAGAGATTCTACTTCGGCTTAGAAAAAGAGAAAAATAATAATTTCTTAAATTTAAAAAATAATCATACTGTCGTTCCTATAACTACTTTTAAATAATTATAGGTGCAATAATATTCGCCATACACCAACCTACCTACCTGCAATGCAAAGAGAAGCTTAGTGTGTACGTTTCTTTAAATAATAATAAAATTGTAGTTTGACCCAGTACAAAATAAATTTTCTTAAATATTTTTTTAAAAATAATCTATTGCTATTTGTCACCTGGGTGTTTTAGTCTAACATTAATAATAAGTTAAACTTTGGATATTAGTGATAAAAACAGAATGTCACTTTTTCGGGTCAAAAAAAACACTGTGCAACGCAACGAAATCAGAAGAACATAGCATGAGTTCGATGTTAAGGTTCGACTTCCCTCCAGTCCTCCATAGCTTGCAGACCTCTATCTTCAAGGCAGAGTAAATTGGTATTGCCTGTAAAAAGATAAACAATCTAAGAGAAACACAAGTCAGTCATTGACTAAGATGCACCAATTAGCCTCGCTCGTCACGTTAACTACCATGTTAATTGCTGAATTAAGCAATTTTTCAGTTGTAACGTCTAGTCATTCGACAAATCGCTCGTCCAAGGCGAGCGACACCCGGAATCGGAGCTAGACTTGTGGTGCAAGTGATAAGATTATTTAAGTGCCATATTTCAATAACATAATACACATAATACAATTTGCATAGTCTCGTCCAAGGATTTTGGCAAAGTCCTTCAGTAGTTCGTTTGTCTACTCTTTCCATAACGACCGGTCCTGTACTGTCCACATTCAGGTGCTTCCCGCGACCTTCACTAGATCGTCGTCGGTCCACCAAGTCAAGTCAATGCTACTTTCAATACTTAAGATGGACTTAAAGCTATTCATGAGCTTTATTTTACGTAGACCTAGTTACTGGATGGAATATTCGCGCAAGGAACACTACAGAGATCTTCCATTAAATATAAACATAAATTGGCATTTTATAGTTACTTAATTAACGCTACGTTCTATAACTTGAGGCGCCTGTCACACGATATTTCACAGGCGCTTCCGCCAAGTCTGCGACTTATCACTCGTCTGCAGTGAAGTGATTTTAGTCATCTCAACACTATAATGTGGCCTCTTAGTGTTTTAAGCCTCCTATTCACTACGGCATATTTCACATGACATTTATTACGTCACCATTTTCATACGCGGTGGCGTTGTCAGACGTGTGATGTCGAGGGACGTCCTTTTTGTCGTACTACGTTTCTAGCTACATTCAAATAAAAACACCAATTTAATTTAAATTTACAGGACAAAAACAATGGAAGGTTACACACACATACAGTGTGAACAGGCCTCCGCTCAGCATGTCAAAAAGCTGGCCTTCCACGGTCTATCCTCAGTTATCTCTTTTTTTTCTTTACTTATTAGGAAAACATACAGCTTATATTATAATACAAGTATAATACAAAAAAATAAGTCTTACACAAGCCAAGGAGTTGCCAAGGCTGTTAAAGCCTTTGTCCAGCATTGGACGTCATTCGGCTGAAACGACTCAACACCCCTTGAAACGGCTTGACTGACAGTGTATATTCAGTAGGTCTGAGAATAGGTCATAACCCTAGTTGATAAGGGTTTTTCACACGTACGAAATTGCAGACGTTAATAATTTAAAATAGTCAAAACTCGTTCTTACGATTTTATCTGTATAGTTTTAAAGTCAAACTCCTTTTTACTTCCACCTGTATAACATTATGTAAATACAATAATAACCAGCCTTATAAGTTACATTCAACATGTAAGTCTGCAACAACTAAAGCAAAACCTGCCAGATTATATGCAGATTCGGGCAGGCTTTCATTTGTCAAATTATATCTGGTTTTTATTTAAATAAGCGCCATTATTCAGTCGACCGACTTCCGCGAGACTGTATAAATTATGTCATAATCATGCAAGTATTATAATGCTTTTAACTAAATATGTTATGTGATGTTGGTTTCTCTACTTTGAGAACTATATTAGACTACTTTGTTACTAAACGTCTAAACGACTAGTGACTAATTTTAGACCTTCAAAGGTCCTGCAACCTTAAAATGACGTCACTTTACACTTATAAATCCCAACTAATATTATAAATGCGAAAGTAACTCTGTCTGTCTGTCTGTCTGTCTGTCTGTTACGCTTTCCCGCTTAAACCTCGCAACCGATTTTGATGAAATTTGGCATAGAGATAGTTTGAGTCCCGGGAAAGAACATAGGATAGTTTTTATCCCGGTTTTTGAAACAGGGACGCGCGCGATAAAGTTTTTCTGTGACAGACAAAATTCCACGCGGGCGAAGCCGCGGGCGGAAAGCTAGTAGCCATAATATTGACATGAATGTCATACGAAAATGTCAATATATAACTATTCTAGGATCTAGTCGTTTATTGTGATTTTCTTATGCCAACTGGAGATTATTTTAATACTTGTTGAAAAGGTCATTAACTCAAATATCAACGAAGCTGCGAAGGTCTCTCCCTAAAATCCAAACCTGGGCTAATACCACCTGTCAACCAAAATTCCAATGAACAAAATTAAACTGCAAATCGCAATATCACATTATAGATTACGTGATGAACGCCAGGACGACAGACGGTGATTTATAACATGGTGGCCAGATCATTAATAAACTGTAATATTAATATTTCGGCGACAGTGGATCTAATAAATGGCTATTTGTCGGAAAATTGCCTTCGGCCTAGGTATTAAAGAATACGGAACTATTTTGAGTTGCCACCCTATACTATTTACTTAACTTACCTACTTTATGGCGTTATAAATAACGGGATATCTAAGAGAGCTCACAGACGAGCTCCCTCAAGGTGAGTATAGACTGGAGCATTATATGTAATGTAACGTTCTTACGAATGATACAATATAGGTAAAATGTAAGTTTGGTTCGTGAAAAGCTGAACACTAGTCCTAGAGCGCGCGGCTCGTTGTTCTATTACAACAAGTAAATGCTTAGTCTATCTATACTCATAACTTGTATCCTTTTTAAATTGATCACCTGTAAAATGAAGCTGTGTATTAAAAACGACCTCATAAAGATAGCAAGAAGGCGCTGGAAGCAGGCCGCTACCAACCGGGCGATGTGGAAATCATTGGGGGAGGCCTATGTTCGGCAGTGGACGCTCTGTGGCTGAAATGATGATGATGAAAAACGGGATTAAAATGTATTACCAAAAGTAATTTCCCGGTTTGCTCTACCAATATATCACTGGTAGGCTAATAATTATGTCACATATAAACCGAGGCAATATCCCAAACATCGTATGACGGATCACCTCGCATAGTAAATATATTTTCACTTATGTTGACACATACATACATAATAAAATGTGTGCCTTTAATATTACAAACAGTTTTATGAGATATTTTTATTCTATTTTGGGGCGTCAATGCGAAGTCGAATCTTTGTTGAAAGTAAATAAAAATATATTACGTATTTTCTACTGAAATTGTTTGGTATAAAATATTCCATGTCTAAGGGCTGATTTTTCAATCGTCAGATATCTTTTATCTAAAGAATAAACTTGTCATTTTGACATATTTCCCATATCGAAACTGTCAATGTGCCAAACTTATTCTTCAAATAAAAGTTACGCGACGATTGAAAAATCGGCCCTATTTCGAATAAAGTATCTCAATGGCAAATAGGGCAAACGAAGGACACAGAAAACTTTGTAATCTCTCACAATATGCCCTTATTGTTTATTTATGTGCGATACGAAGTACAGTCAGCATCAAATAGTTCGCGATACCCAAAGTGGCCAAAAAGTTGGCAGCAAAACCTTATTCCAATGCAACACAGACGTGTTGCGAACTTTTTGGCTTCTTTGGGTGTCAGGAACTATTTGTCGCTTACTGTACGAAAAGTATTTTAGCTTGCTCCAGCAATAACACGCTGTTTCAGATGTTTTTGCCTTTGTTATAGCTCTCATAGTTGTAACTTCATACGGCCTATTGTGAGAGTTTATGAACTGAATATTTTGGATACTAACGTCCAGGGCTGGTACATGAGTTATTTCTGCTAAGATAATTAAATAATTTATTCAAATACTCGTATTTATCTGTACTGATGTTATAAAATGAGCTAGTTGGTTAGAATACATGTTGGTACCTATTCCTTGACGTAAAGTAAGTAAGATGCGTATGTTGAGATGAAGTTTGTCAAAAGATTCGGAGGTTTCGGAAAAATTACGAAACATAAAATGTTAGTTGAGCTAATATGTGATAACACGTTAGAAAATAAATCTATAGGTAAAATAAATGGAAAACCATTTTCAATATGGTGAAGGAAGCTATTATGCAAAATATATTTTATTAATACATAAAAGGGCGCGATTATAGTTTCAGAATATTATAATAGCAACCCTACTCATACCCACCGCACTTTCATTTTTCCCGTCAGTAAAAGAATGATTTATTGTTCCAGATGCCAACGATGTAGGAGCCGGGAGCGTTGAGGAAGTTTTAATATCGTGCTCAGTGAAGTTCGCTTGGAATCACTACTCGCGGCGGTTTTTTGTGTTCGGAATTTGAAATGCGCGATCTCGATTGGCCCGTGCGCGGTGTGTGCTCGTGATTAGTGATGTGCGGTGTCGACAGCTGTGGTTATCGATAGAAATGGCGACGATGGATCTCACGAACGAGGTGGTCCGATTGCGGGCCGAGCTCGAGAAGGTGTCTCAGGAGAGGGACATGCTCCTCTGTGAGGTGTCCAACTTGAGAAGAGAATTGGAGTTGAGCGAGCTGAAGAATCTGCAAGATGACAGGTTAGTACGAGTACAATTACAATGTTGTTTAGCGTCTAACGAAAAGAATTATGTGGGGATATTTCCCCATGATACGTCGTCATATAAGTTGGGTGTATATCAACCATTTCGCCGCAAACAAAGGGTGCCTCCGTCTTGTGGGTCCTTTGAAAGGCTCGACAGTTCGTCGGGGACCTCTCACACCACTCTCTAGAATCGGTGTAAGTCATAAACGAACATCCAACGTATTCCCATAGTGTTAATTAAATGGATCGGGTTGAAATATACAGTTCAGTCGCAGAGTTCAAGAGATTTTGTCTCTATTGTTTTGAATTGCCTTTCAAAAACAACTTATAATATCAGACGCGTTCATTACATCACCGTGTGCTTGAAAATGTTTAGTACTTAATTTGTACATTAATATTAGACGATGGTTAACTGACTACAAAATTACCTTTAGCTAAGCAAAATTAACTAAGCAATAGTTAAAAATCTCTCGAAAATCCAACTGCTCTGATATTGAGGCACGGTCAATAAACGATATAAGTATCTATTTTTACCTAAAGCTTATATTTTTGCTAAAAATCGCTAAATCCTATAAAATCATGCCATGCACACCATGGCATTGTTCCCCGTTGGTTTCCGACGGCGCCGACGTCACAAGGTCCTTCCTACGCTCTGAATAGGCCCTTTTACATGCCACCTAGAAAATATCAAATGGACCCGAGCGGACTTGTTTATTTTACTAACACGCACGAACGTGAGTTTATTGCAAATTTAGGTTGGTTAAGATACACTCCCTTTTAAAGGACGGTGTTCGTTTTTGAAGGAAATTGAGTTTGGGGATTTTATTTGGGTTACTTATAATATGTAAGTAAGATCTTTACTTTAATGTAACGTTTCGTAGGGAAAACAATGCTCACAAGGTCCTTCCTACACGCTCTGAATAGGCCCTTTTACATGCCACCTAGAAAATATCAAATGGACCCGAGCGGACTTGTTTATTTTACTAACACGCACGAACGTGAGGGGAGGATGGTGACCGTTTTTGAAGGAACTTGATTTTATTTGGGAAAGGAGATTTGGCTTATAAGTAAGTTTGTAAGTTCTTTATTGCGGTTAGAAAACAAGGCCATAAAATCCTTAATCATCCAGTATCATAAATAAATCTTCCTTTAGATTTGGCTTAAAAGTTAGTAAGTTCTTTGTTGTACCTAGAAAACAAGGCTATAAAAATCTGAAATTCAAAGTGTCATAAATCCTTCTTTCCTTTCGGGGATTGATATTTTCTCTAATCTATATATAGGGGAGAGTTCGGTATATTGTACCGCCGGGTAAATTGTACCACCCTCATATTTCGTAAAGTATTTATTGAATGTCTGTAATTGCAACACTCAGCGATACACAACTAAAATCAATTAATATCGGCCATGTGGTTTTTGCGGTGACAACAAACACGTGTGTTTTATTTTAAAAAAAGTATTTTTTCATTGTTTTCAAGTAACTTTTGACAATACATGTTTAGATTGTAATTTTGTTAAATTTAATTACAGGGTGTTTCTAATATATTATTTAGAAGCGTAAATTAGTGTGGATTACAATTATTTGAAACATTTTTCGGTATTTATTAGCTATATTTTTTACCGATTTTTTAAAAGCACTATCACCTAGTCGGCTAAATTGTACCACATCAAGTTGTATGGAACTTTACCAAAGGATTTTAAAATTTTTTTTAGTAAATCATATTTTAAAGTTATAATAGGGTAGTTATGTTTGACTAACAATAAATGAAAGCAAAANGTTCGTCGGGGACCTCTCACACCACTCTCTAGAATCCGTGCAAGTCATAAACGAACATCAAATGCGGAATGCATTACTTAAATGAATCGGATTGAAATTATATGAGAGTCCAAGAGATTTTGTCTCTATTGTTTTGAATAATCATCTTTAAAATCATTATGTACCTACTCGTAATATCATACTTTAACTTTAACACTTCTATTAGAACAGTTTTATGATAACATAACTCTTCTGATTGAAGCCGATTTTATTAGCGGACGTATTTACCGAGTCGTGCCTACCAATGTACCAAAAGAGTGTCTGATGGAACACGATTAAGTACCTAGGTAGGAGTATGTACCGGGGGAGCAGAGCATCTTATGTAGAACGGCTAATATTCGACATATCTTTTTCAGCTTAAAGCTCGTATTCACTTGACTAAAACCGCTACATCCTATAAAATCATGCCATACACACCATGGCATTGTTCCCCGTTGGTTTCCGACGGCGCCGACGTCACAAGGTCCTTCCTACGCCCTGAATAGGCCCTTTTACATGCCACCTAGAAAATATCAAATGGACCCGAGCGGACTTGTTTATTTTACTTACTAACACGCACGAACGTGAGGCCTCCCCTCATGGTGATCGTTTTTGAAGGAACTTGATTTTATTTGGGAAAGGAGATTTGGCTTATAAGTAAGTTTGTAAGTTCTTTATTGCGTTTAGAAAACAAGGCCATAAAATCCTTAATCATCCAGTATCATAAATAAATCTTCCTTTAGTGTATATTTGGCTTATAAGTTAGTAAGTAAGTTCTTTATTGTAACTAGAAGACAAGGCTGTAAAAATCTGAAATTCAAAGTGTCATTAATCCTTCTTTCCTTTCGGGGATTGATATTTTCTATAATATTATATTGAAAATCTAAATACCATAGCCTTTAGGTTTAGTTTTTATAATTTAAAAACGAGATTTTATATCATGGATGTTTTGACTCATAAAAACTTTTTCGTTAAATCGCAAGTCGGTCGGTAACAAGTTACATATGAGTATGTATATCCGATACATAAAATGAACCTAAATACATACATAGAAATGAAAGTAAAGGAACTCATTACGTTTCGTTACAAAAGATCGATCGTTAAATGATAACGATAATAACGAATGATTTTGATTCGGCTCGTTATGGTAATTGTTAAAATGGAGCCAAGTTGAGCCCGATTTAGTAGAGAAAAATGGCCGACTTTTATATTTAAGGAAGTTATGAATACATTGCCAATTGCGAAATTTTCTTCGTTATTGAAATTTAATAATGACCCGAAAGTTTTTTATATTGAATCTTGTATGAATTTTGAGTGAAATAAGGTAATATTTTTATAAATAACGTGAAAAGAATTGTTGCGTGTTCAATTCACGCAAATAGATGCAGGTAAAAAGTAAAAACACAATAGAACTCATATTTCTGTCGTATCGTACGTAATGGTAATGTTAGGAAACATTAATTTATTATATTGTTTCTGCTAATATTATTTATTTAACTGCTCCGGTAATTCCATCTATCTTCTATTATTACGTCAAACTCGCTAAACGAATTATTAAAGTAATACAAAAACATAGCCCTCTTTCTGGCGCAGTCGGGTAAAAAAAGGTAATAAGGCTGTGTGTTTAAAAACGTGTCTTTAGTTGTCACAAGTAATCATTAACAGTAGCTTATTATAAATCACTTGTGTATAATAATTACGATTAGCTGACTATAAAACAATCACAAGAACAATTTCCATTGAGTAGGAAAACCAGTTTTTTATTGCTCTATACAAATAATAACTTGCATCCTGTGGTGTCGTGCTAAGCTACTTTATTTTGTAGTTGACATCATCATCATCATCATCAAATCAGATGATCTCCACTGTAGGAACATGACCCTCTCTAATTTACCATAGGCAAATAGAAGTCCGAGGTCCCTATACATACAAAATGATAATAATTATTATTTACGGGAATGCTACCATGTACCTTAATTTTGAGTTCCCGATATTTTGGCACTGTTGCAAGCGCCATGGTCACGGAGTAAGGCTGGTTTTAGTGTCACGCTGACTGTATGAACTGCTAGGAAGCGGAGCGGTTCCTCCGGATTGCATTACTCTAAAGTCTAAAACGCTCCCTAGTAGTTCATACAAATTGGCCGTGCGGAGCGGGTCCGCACAAGACGGTTCGCATGACACTAAAACCAGCCTAACTGAGGAAACTTGCGGGTGAGATTCCCGTAAATAACAGTTAATAATGTTAGTGACCATGAAAGTTTAAAACAACATACAAAAAGAGGCTTAGAACTCGACTCATTCTCAAGCATTTACTCTATCCCAGACATACTTTATCTTTTTGACAATATTAAGTGCACTGTGGGAGTGGGGCATATAGCTCGTAGAACTGATGGCCGTTGGGGCAGAAAAGTTCTCGATTGGCGACCACGAGCTCGAAGACGCGTAGGCAGGCTTCCCACTAGGTGGATCGACGATCTGGTGAAGGTCGCGGGAAGCACTCGAATGCGGGCAGTGTAGGACTGGTCGTCGTGGAAATCCTTGGGGAAGACGTTTGTCCAGCAGTGGACGTCATTTAGCTGAAAGAACAAGTGAAATATTAAGCCTTGTTTTATTAATTACTAGCTTTCCGCCCGCGGCTTCGCCCGCGTGGAATTTTGTCTGTCACAGAAAAACTTTATCGCGCGCGTCCCTGTTTCAAAAACCGGGATAAAAACTATCCTATGTTCTTTCCCGGGACTCAAACTCAATCTCTATGCCAAATTTCATCAAAATCGGTTGCGAGGTTTAAGCGGGAAAGCGTAACAGAAAGACAGACAGACAGAGTTACTTTCGCATTTATAATATTAGTTGGGATATTAGTTGGGATAACCTGATAGTTGTCACTTTTCCTAGTCACGTCTTACATCTCCAAGAAATACGCAAATGTATGGAACATAGTATTTTTACATTACATTACTGTCATTCGTGACTTTCTAAAGATCCCATACGTTCATTCATATTATTACAGTCCGCGAGGCTGTCGTACTATCATTTGCATAGTAAAAGTGCTATTACCGTATGAGAGAAAAGCATGTGAATTTCTAATGGATTTTTCTATGGATTTACTGATAGGTACTGTACATTGCACAGATGTTAGAGATTATCAGTGAATTAATTAAGTAGTATGTTTTGTTTCAACAAAATGATGTGTTCAGGAAGAATCT